ATTTAAGAAATTCAGAAAAAAATGAAGTTTATATAGTAAGATATGATGAGTGCTTTGGAATGGTAAGCGTTTTCTGTTTTTATAAATTGAATTTTTAATAAAAATTGGACCTTCTAAGAATAAAGAAGGACCTTTTAAGTATTTTTGGTAAAAGGTCCTGGACCTTCCATTGCCTAAAGTAAATTTGAACCCCTTCTAAGAATAAAGGAGGACCTTTAAGTATTTTTGGTCAAAGGTCCTGGACCTTCCATTGCCTAGAGTAAATTTGAACCCCTGAAAACTTTCTAATATTAACACCAACCTATAGTTTCTTTAAGTTAAATTTATTCAGATTGGTCCACTTCATCTTTAGTGAAAGTATGAAAAAAAGTTTAATTGTGGAACTGTGATAATAGCCCAAAAATGGGTAAACATTGATGAAAAATTGGAAAATCATTATAAATGGGGTACTTTTAAATGGCAGTAGCAAATAAAGAAGTGCACCACCATATGATTTTTTTTTTCATCAATTACTTTCTTAGTCATATAAACCCAAAAATCAGGTAAAGAAAAAAAGTTTAATTCTAGAAATTTTTGGCTCCTCAGAGGTGTACATCCTTAATGGTTCAAAGAAAGATATTGTTACATATAATAACACAGATTTGGCGCATGACAAGTTTGTACAAAACAAACATAAAAAGATGAGATATTGATGATCAACCTGGAGAACATACTTCTGTATTGATAATTCGGATTAATTCACACAAATTTTTGAATACATAATTTCATGCCTGCATCACAGCTGAAGATTGACCAATCAGATAATTAGATTATCTATTTAAATATTGGAGTTGAAGCGGAGACAAATACTAGGGTTTTACCATATGTAATAATACAAATTTAAAAATCAATTTATTTTTTGTTGAATCACTAAAATTTAATTTGAGATCAATTTTGCAAATCTCCTGATCATATTAGACATGTGTTTAAAATATCTTTGTGACACCTTTTACCATTTTCAGTTTTGTTTTAAATTGGAGTAAAAAATTGTGAATTCCCATAGAGTTTGAGGTAAAACCCAGAGAATCTCACCTCCTAGAAATTTAAAGTGCAAGGATGTTCGAAAATATACATACCCGAATATTTTTTGAAAAAAAATAAACTGCTGAATTTCAAAACATTTACTTGGCTTACTTGTAATACATGTAGTAAGGATTAAGAAAAGCTCTTCTAATCTCTGTTAGAAATTTGTACAATTTAGAATATATAGTGAAATTCGTAAGGGAGCTACCATTTGATTTTTATGGGGGGGGCTAGGATGAAATTTGAAAAAAATAGGCAGGATAGTTTTTAGTAAAAAAAAAAGGCAGGATGACAATTTATGTAAAAAAATGTCAGGATAAACTAAAAAAAAAAAAAGGCAGGACCAAATGGAGTGAAAAATAAAAAGGCAGGACAGAGATTACAACTAAAAAAAAATGCAGGACAAAATTTTTCATCCTAGCCCCCCCCCCCCCCATAAAAATCAAATGGCAGCTCCCTAACCTATCTCTCAAGAATTACAAAGTATACAGTAAGAACTGCGATTTCTTGGTCTGTCCAAGTTTCATAACAATCCATGAAGGTTAAATATAACAATCTTATCATGTAAAAAAAATTTAATCCCAGACTGTCAGTAAATGTAAACTGTAAAAAAAGTCGATCTATCAGAAAAATACTAAAAATGAAAATATATTTTCAAAAGTGTGCTTCAGACATTATTTCTTAATCAAAAAAAAGTTTCATAAAATTCTATGAAGGTTGGACAAAGTATTTGATGTGTAACAAACTTTAACCCCAGACTGTATAGATCTATTTGTTAAATGTAAAAAAACTAAGTCCATTTATCAGTAAAATACGGAAAATTGAAAATAAATTTTTTTCAAAATTTTGCTCTGGATACTGTATTTTGGTCATAAAGATAAACAAGCTTCTGTCCAAATTTCATCAAATTCCATGAAGATTTGACAAAGTTATTGGACTGTAAAACTTTAACGGTTTAACCTCAGACTGAATCTGAATGTTAAGTGTGAAAAAAACTAAGTCCATTTATCAGTAAAATACAGAAAAATGAAAATAAATATTTTCAAAATTTTGCTCTGGATACTGTCATGACTGTATTTTGGTCATAAACAATCTTTTGTCCAAATTTCATCAAATTCCATGAAGGTTTGACAAAGTTATTGATGACTGAAAAACTTTAACCATAGACTGAATATGAATGTTAACTGTAAGTCCATTTATCAGTAAAATACGGAAAAATGAGATTAAATATTTTTAAAATTTTGCTCTGGATTCTGTATTTTCGTCATAAACAAGCTTCTGACCAAATTTCATCTAATTCCATGTAGGTTTGACAAAGTAATTGATGTCCAAAAAATCTTTAACCACAGACCTAACCTAAATGTTGACACCGCCGACAAAATTTAAGATCGCTATGTCTCGCTTTCGCCAAATAAATTTCGCAGGCTCGACAAAAAACTCAATATTGTCTATACATGCTATATGATCCTATATATATGGCATGTATGGGTTGGGTCCCCTAAAGTAAATGAAGACCTATGAAACTAACCAGCCAATTTAAATTTTTCTTTAATTTGATTTTCTTATATCTCAATATTGCATGCATCTTGTCATGAGGAAGCAAATATTAGAAAATGGTCGAAGGAAGGGGATGCTTGGGATTATTTTTTTTGTTTTGTTACTTTCTATTTCAAAAAAAAATCCCATCTACTTTAAGGTTTAAAATCGAGAACTTCGATTACGTCAGTACTTGTATACACGTATATACTCGTGATAAAACAGAAGTCCCAATTGAAATCTTCTCGAGAACCCGGTAGCTGGGGCGTGTTTTTTTGTTCTTCGGTAGTGAGCCAGAAGAGGTCCATTTCTATTTTTTTGAATTAGGAAGATCTTCTGGCTCTCTTCCACCTCTTCTTTTTAAATAGGTGGTTTAGACGGCAGAGGCACAAAACATCATGGCGTCGTTTAGTCTAAATGACATTAATAAATTCATGAATGAATATATATTAGAATGTGAGCTGTGTTATAAACGTTTTTATGGTATGACAACCTTAGTAGGACATCTCTGTAGGACGATAAGCTGGATGAATATAAGAACTACACGGACAATAACAGTTAAGGGACAACTATTCGTTGAAATTTTAGGGAAGGGATTTTGATTGGTGTTTTACGCTACTTTCAACACTCATGATTGGGCTAGTAGTCAGCCTGTTTAAATCAATAGATGAGGGATTAATGAAGAAGGAAAGAGGGCATTATTATTCATTTTAATTTGTCGCTTATCATACCTATTTTTTAGCACTTACCAGGCAACCATATCAGTCATATACGAAATCCTCCTGTTCCCCATCCCAACAAATAAATAAATATCAGATGGTTTTCTCTTATTAAACACAAGTTTAAATTGATAATGCTAATTTTTAACGCCCAATGACAAATATTTCATGCATGTTCTGGAAAACACGAGATAAAATGTCGGGTAAATTATATAAAAACGAAGAGATGTGATATGATTGCTAATGAGGCAACTATCCTAATATGAAGTGGATGTAAGCAATTATAGGCAACCTTGAGGCCTTCAACAATGACAAAACCCGATACTGTAAAGCCGTTTATAAAAGGCCATTAAAAGTGTGAAACAATTCAAACGATAAAACTAACGGCCTAATTATACAAAACAAAACAATTTACAAAATATCAAATTTGAGTTGAGACACGAACCAACGACAACCACTAAACTACAGGCTCCTGACTTGGGACAGGTTCATAAAGAATATGGCAGGGGTTTATATAAAAACGAAGATGTGGTATGATTGACAATGAGACAACTCTTCACAAGAGACCAAATGATACAGAAATTAACAGCCATATGTCACAATACGGCTTTCAACAATAAGCAAAGCCCATACTGGCACATAGTGAGCTATAAAAAGCCCCGAAATCACAAATGTAAAACAATTCAATGGTAAAAACTAACGGCCTAACTAATATACAAAATAAAGTGAACGAAAAACAAATAAGTAACACAGCAACGAACGACAACCACTGACTTACAGGCTCCTGACTTGGGACAGGCACATACATACAGAATGTGGCGGGGTTAAACATGTTAGCGGGATCCCAACCATCCCCTACCTGGGACAGTTATGTAACTGTACAACAACTTGTTTGTGAGCGCTCAATCCTCCCCGAAGCTGAAACAGTAGTGTAGCAGTACAATATAAGAACAACCTGCGCAAATCTGTTGCAATTAGATTAACTCAAAAGATCGGTACGAGACACACAAAAGAAACCGGACAACTAACATTAAGACAATAGACTCAAAGCATCGAACTAAGAGTATTTGCAATTACTAGAAGTTCGTTCAAAGCTAGTTGCAACTAGTACTGAAATAAATCTTGTTCTCCCAGACTTAAGTATCAATCAGTACACAACCAACTGATATCTTGTTAATCCAGTTCGGTTACTTTAAAAACAAAAATGGAAAGACTAAGATTTCCTTTTTCATCAGTCATATTCCAGACAAACATTGAAGAACTCTTGTGCAGTTTAAGATTATTCTTAAAAATCTAATAGTGGGGGTTAAGCCTGATTTGTTCAGCAAAATTGAGTTAAAGGAAAGCATAAAGAAAATTGTAACGAACAGAGAACACTTTTACAGTCATGTCTACTGCATGGACGTATCTTAATTTTCTAAAAAAAATCGTAAACTTAATTTATGTCATCCAACATAACAAAAACCTGCTATATTCGGCGGCAAATTGCATTTTTATTTTATTGATCTTCCATAGAATATCTCCAGAAGAGGTCCAGATTCATTTTTTTGGACGCTTCACCAGAAGACATTCTGGAGATGTACCGAAGAGACCAATAAAACACGCCCCTGATGTCTCAAATTTTGCGTCTGCAACAAGATACAGACGCCTCAGATTTTAGCCGGTAAATTTTCTTGTAATTACCTGTTGTGCAACTGGTTCAAGAATACTTTCTATTGTCTTTGTGTGAAACACCGGCATTTTGCCTGTTTCACTTGTAAATGCTGCTTCTTCTTTTGCCTAAATGATCAACAAATCTTGGTCCGATATCGATGACAAATCTGTTCTGCTCCGAAGTTGTTTCCGGAAGTCAGTCGTAAATTTTTACGGTAGTTTCGTATTCCTTTCAGTGGAAAAATCCCGTTAACTTTTCCTTTAAATGTGCTTTTCACATTTAAGCTACGAATATATACTTTATAAAGCGGTTTCTTTATTTTCTCTACAATTTGACATGTATTCAATGATTTAAATTCATTTCCGTAATTTGAGCCCTTGAAACAAGAGGCATTCCATAAAAGGAAAGGAGTGACCTTGATTGTGAATAATAGCCACTTGCCTACTGTTTATTGTTTTTAATAAAAATCTTTGTTAATGAGTCACGAATTATGTAATTAAGAGTCGGGATAGAATCAACAAATTAGAAAAATATCATTACACACCAACCGTTAATAAATGAAGGAGAAAAGACACCGTGATAAAAGAGTGCTATAAAAAAAAATGTTTGGAGAAAAATATTTTTTTTACAAGTTTATAAAGATATTTTCGCATTATCAGAATCAGAGACATATGTCTCTGTCAGTAAGAAGGTCCATTATTCTATAAATTGACTTGATTTGTGTCCATATTATTTGAAAATATAGAAAAAATATTTTACCTCAACTGCAGTTTTCTCGTCGTAAAAAAACTGATTACGAGATATGGTTCGCGTTTTTGATAAAATCGTGGTTCTTATCGCATTAAAACAAAAAAAAAAAACTTGTCCCCTTCTAACCAAATTGAAATACTCTGGTAGCCAAATATGCAACTGGATCACATAGCCAGAAACTATATTTGATTCAGTGTCCTGTAATATTGTCAACTGACAGCTGGTAGTTGGCATACATGATATAGCTATATCAGTATGTCCTTTGAATGATGAAAAACTAAAACTATTAGTTAACATAATAGATCATATTCCCAGTGATAAGCGAATGAGAGTAGTCATTTCAAGACATTCAACATTTTCATGATTTTTTTACTGAACTTCTCGATGTACCTTTTATTAGTGTAATATCAAAGTACTGAAGTACTGAACATCGGATGACCGCAAGTTCTTGTGGATGGTCACAAGCACTTGTCTCAGAAAAAAAATCAAATCTCTATACCTGAAAGTGAGGTTAAGGTTCATAGATATATTTTTTTCTGAGACAAGTTCGGGCGTGGATGATGAATGAAATGACAGGGAATCAGTCAACCTCACCGTAATAATAACTATTATATTGTAGTGATATAATCATTTGTCATCAGTATCATGACTCTGGTTTGTTGTTATATATTATATTAATATTTGTATATAACAGCTACATGTATATATAATTTTCATCCATTTGTATATCTTTCTATTCTACTTTTCTACTATTGTAATAATAGTGCAGTGCAAGTGCATGGTGGACACTCTTCTGTAATAATTCGAGTTTTCTAATAGATTGGATTTGAGTAGGCATTCATATTTTCCCGCAAAACGTACTTGAGATATTCTTCCGCATGTTTTAACACAAATTTTCGGTATTCTTGATTTGTTATTGATATCTGAGACTACTATAACACATACACTATACATAGTATACATTACTAATAATAGTCTATATGTGTTATAGTAGTCTCAGTTGATATATATATTTCTCAAGACAAAACATTTTCATATCATTTATCTATGTTCTTAAAAAATATTTTCATGAATATTTATTGATGAAATTGATATATAACAAGCGATAAGGAATGTTATTTTGCGTTCGGTTATCAGTCAAAAACGACTGGGTAGAAATGTCTGTGGCAACAATACACCGGAATGCCCTTACGGTCATCCGATGTAAAAAATATATACATTATCAGAAGTCCATTTATACTAGTAATGGACTTCTAACACTATGTAATAAAATACAAAAGCCTCTCAATAAAAGAGTTATGGAAGACGAAAAAAGTCACAGGTCTATATACAATATAACACTTTAATCTTCTTTTTTTTTCAAATACGATACCAGTAGCAGGATCTGGCACAAACCTCACTACTGTCATGCATTTTGACCACTGTGATTTTGACAAACAGAAAATAAACCAAAAATTGTGAATTTTTGCCAATTATTACACTGTTCAGAAAATCTGGTTAAAACACCTTTTTAAACAGGATTTTTTTTAAATTCTGATGAAACAGACATTTTAAATGTACATGGACACATCTTCTACATTACAATATAAACACTTTCCCTTTCGTCTATTAAGACTTTCAAACCGACTGGTTTTGAATCGACTGTGGCTTGCACTGCGATGACAAAATGGCCTCATAATTTTACAATAAATACAAATGCTCTGTCTTAAATTTATATTTGAACAAACAATATGTACGCATTTTATTTTTTCCTCTAAAAGAATTGGAAGAAGTTTTGTTGACACTAGTTTTTCGATCTCAAGAGTCAATTTCTACGGATAAATCATGCTTAATAAAAAAAAATCACTCTGATTAAAAAAACAAAAAAAACTCTGAAAATGACATTACCTAGATGCTTAATTTCTTAATTGATAACATATTTGTTCGTTTGGAGGGCTTGTTTTTAAAAAAACAATCGGCATTTCCATGGGAACCAATTGTGCTCCTCTCCTTGCCGACTTGTTTCTTTATTCGTGCAGGAGCTTCTTAGGAGGAATGAAAAGAAGCTAGCATTATCATTTAACTTTACGTTCCATAGTTCAAAGTTTGGTGACTATGTTAAACGCATCAATCCAATCGAAGTTGAAATAAAGGATATACAACAGATACAGTTAAGTCTGCCTAATATCTTGACTTACATGTATATATTGACAATAAGGGTCGGTGAGAACATAACTTTACGTCAAAAGATATGATTTCAGCTTCCCAATTGTGAACTTTCAATTTCTATGTAGCAACATTCCAGCAGCACCTGCATATGAGGTATATATCTCCCAGTTGATACGATATTCTAGAGCTTGCCTTTCCGATCATGATCTCCTTGATAGAGAGTTGCTGTTACAAGGAAGTTATTAAACCAAGAGTTCCGAGTGGTGGAGTTGAAATAACCCCTTCGAAAATTTTACGGACGCCATCATGAGTTGGTTGACCGTTATGGAATATTTGTTCCACAGATGACGACGGATATGTTCCAATTTTTGTATCCACAATCCCGTTCTCTTTTCTCGAATGTGACCTTCCGAATTAGACTTCGGGTTTGTACTTACAAGAGCTACACGAAGGGTGCCACATGTGGAACAGGATCTGCTTACCCTTACGGAGCACCTGAGATCACCCCCAGTTTGTTGGTTGGGTTTGTGTAGCTCAGTATTTAGTTTTCTATGTTGTGTTTTGTGTTCTGTTGTTTGTCTTTTCGTCTTTTTTTCGTTTGTTTGCCATGGATTTGTCGGTTTGTTTTCGACTTATGAGTTTGAATATTCCTTTGGTATCTTTCGCCTCTCCCTTCAATATGTGTCTGCATTTTTTTTTACAAAACATCACAATCAGAAACTATGTGTAATTTACACTGTATACCATAAAACCGGTTCAAATCAAACTCAGCAAACTTTTTCTTCACTTAAAAAAAAATCCTTTTTTTTTGGCACTTTACCGCTGAGACTATGTGCCAGGTACTTGTGTTCCTGGTGACTTTTGTTCCTGGCACATGGTCTCAGCTTATATCTAAAAAAATGACTATTTATTCTGTCGTAACTTATAATTTAGGCAGCCTACACCAGTATCTCACAGGAGACACATCTCAAAGTAACTTCCATTGGTTATGAAATTTATAGGCAACAATAGTTTGCTTATGTTAAAATATCATAAATTGCCAAAAAGATACAAGTCAAGGTAACATACAAATACTGAAGGAATTGCATGAACAACAAAAGTAGCGAGACCGGGTGCGTCGACAGGATAAATGTTTCATGGTACATATGCATACAATATCCACCATGCGAATCCACACTCAGTCAAAATATGAGTATCGGGAACATGAGAAACTAAAGTATCCAACCCATATCTCCCATTATCGCAGCATTTGGTGCGTATATATATTTGCCAACTCCTAGAAAATATCTACATGCACGTTGCTGAACAAAAGTTGTGCCCTAGAATTTTTCGTACGCCATATAAAAGCACCACGCTCAATTATACTGGGCGTTTGAAAGTTGAATGCTGTTTAATAAAAAAAGATAAGAAATGCGAAAAAAATATACAATGATAGAAAAAAAAATTGTACCATCACATGAATCCCTTTTGGACATTAATCACGGTAGGTTTATAAACAGCAATATACCACGAAAATCGGTATTATAGGCCAAAGAGACACGGATTTGAAGGACAATTACTAATTTGTTAGCTTTAAAAAAACATACGAACGTAAAAGCTGCACACATGAATGCAGAATATCACGTACTTTTTATCAAATTTCTGCAATTTGAATCATACTTCCACAATAAATCTCTATAGTTGTGGTAAAATTTAGAAAAGTTTGACAATTCATGAGATCTATATCCCTGTTGTAAATATTAGTACAGAAATTATTCCGTTCATGGAAAGTCAAAATTCACTGCGCCAATTGATTCAAATAAAAAATATACACTAGGTAACCACGAGATCATCACCATCAAGGAAAGGAAAAATAACAATAGGAAAGGAAACGTTGTCCCGTTTATCATTTGGTATTTCAATTTTGGCATGGAGAATGTCATGTAAAAGTCTACTACTATATTTATGTTTGATTTAGTTAGAAAGAGTTCAGGTGGATTAAATTCATTTGTATATTTAGAAAAATCTGGAAAAAGAGAACAAATCATCTAAATATCTGCTTATATTTTTGACAATATCTATCAAGAGGTCTTTTAGCAATACCCATACTGCATAACATAACAAATAAAAACAATTCAAACGAGAAAACCAACATCCTGGTTTATGTACAAAACAATAAAAAAAAATGATATACAGCAACAAACAACAACCTCTAAATCACAGGCTAATGACTTTGGACAGGCACATACAGAATGTTGCGGGGTTAAACATGTTTGTTTGAGGCCAACCCTTCCGTAAATTGCATGGGACAGTGGTGCAACAGCACAATATAAGAACATGCTTACATTTACTTCATTTGAACTCTGGTGGGTAGTTTTCTCTTTTGTAATCATACCACATCTCCTTATTTTTATATTGATAGCATGTAGGGTTTGTTGCTCGTGCTGTGTG